AAATGTACTTGAGAAGGTAAGATAATACAACAGACATTCAAACATTATTAAACATATTAAAATATATATTTTTATATCTATAAAATAGTATTCCTATATTCAGAAAGTTACACCAGCAGTATTACGAATGCTTCACTTTGATCTTACAGAAAATGCCGCTGTAACTTCTAATACAATTAGTTGTGATATCAAAGAGAGATTACAATTGATGTTGTTATTAGCAGATTCTAATATTATATTTGATTTGTGTACCAATAATAGATTTAAAGAGACAAAATTTAATATATTTTGGGATGAAACAGAGGCTTATTTCAATGAACAAATAAGATTTTATATTCATATATTACATCGAGATAGTTTGTCAATTAAATAAATCAAAAATATATATGGTCAGAATATTCAAGTTTACTGATTTTTCAGTACCATAATTTACATATCTACTTTTAGATAATGTTTTTTTAGCAAAAAGTTTAGTTTAATACCAATCGATCCTTTCTTATTTGAATAGTAAAGTTAAAGAACCATTTTTTATATCATGTATAGAAAATGAATTCTTATTTATGAGTTCTTTGATAAAATGATGCCTGACGAAACTCACGTGACTTGGCGAAACCATATAGTTTCGCTATTTCATCAATGATGAAACTTATAGTTTCACTAATTTGCCAACGGCTTTGTTTGATATCTATATTATTGGAATATTTGATTCTGTAACTGCCTTTTTATCAATTCAAAGTTTAGACTTATAATTTTTTTGTTATAAGGCTGTACCCTAAACAAATATTTCTATAATATAACAAATTTTAATAAAACTATATTTATTTAATTGATAGGCCGCATAATATTACGTTTTATTATTGTTATTAACTTTATATTTATTTTTAATATAGAATTTACTTGCAGTAAATGAGAGACAACATGGAAGTATTCTGTATATTCCACTAGCATTATCAATTCGTAACCTTCATGAAACTGTAGTAGAAAGATTAAAAAATACTTATAGTGATTCTTTACCTTCTAATATTAATATTCTATCAGATGAATAGATTCATCTGCAATTTTGTTCTGCAAATGCCACTACAATGCGAGTGATGTATTATACTGGTCGATTCAGTGTAAAATTTAAAGTACAAAGTCGGATGCTTCGGAAAAGTAGTGAAGATGCATATTATTGTACTGCGCTTTTCAAATATCTTAGAGAATTTTGTATACAATACTGCCAGTGGACTTGTTTAATCTCTGCTGATGATAAGCACAAGATTCCTATTAGGAAAGATGTTGCAGTTTCTACGGGTGTGCGAAATCGACGCACTATAGTTTTTCAAGAAAGCATTTGGCTGCTGCTGATCATGATTTCTCAAACTATCTCTAACACCGTTGGTTATATTTTTTATATCTATTCCTAATGATATCTCTGGGTCATTTTATGATAGACAGATGTTTGTGTCATATAAAGATACAGTTTTTGAACCAAGCATAGCTATTAGACATTCGGCAGAATTTTTAAAAGTGTTAAATATTTAATATGCATGTCAAGTAATGCCACCAATTCTATGTCTTTACACTGATGGAGGTCCGGACCATCATTGTAATTATGGTTCAGTACAAATTGCATTACTTAGTTTTTTTTTTTGTGAGAATTTTGATCTGCTTGTTGCTGTTCGTACTGCCCCCAAACATAGTTGTACGAATCCTGCAGAACAAATTATGAGTACTTTAAATTTAGCGCTTCAAGGTTAGTGAAAAAATTCATTATGCGCATGTGTGCTATATAGGTAATTTTGATAACACATGCGATGAGTGAACAGTAGATTTAAAATTATGTACGCAACGCAAACCTAATTTTTTTTTCCTGTTCAAGGTGTAGCGTAATTGTATTGTAAAGAGTTAATATATTATTTCAGACAAAAATGCTAACCTATATACACTGATTGGAAATGTAAG